CTACACCAGGCGAGAGCTGAGTTTTTCCAGGGACATGGGCCTGGCCTTTGGGCTGGCATATGGCCCTTGCCAGCACCCTCCCTCCCTGCTGCCCAGGCTCCTCCTCCCCTACCCGAGGCAAAGCTCCCGAGCTCACTGGGAGCAAAGGACTGACCAAGGCTAATCAAGTCTTACCTGGCAGTTTCCAAGAGTTTGACAGCCTCTTCGTTTCTGTCTTGCTCCATAAACAGCAGGGCCAGCTCCAGCAGGGCGTTTGGGATCAAGTAGTGGTCATATTTAATCTTCTTTTCACTGTGGGACAGGAGAGGACACGGCTTACAGGCTCTGCATTTGAGACGTCCTTCAGGCTTCTCCTTTCGAGTCTTCCCCGAACAGGAGAATCCACCCCGTGCCCTCCAGTGGACTTTCCTGATCAACATTCCAATTTGGGAAGGTTCCCACTACCTAGCCCTAGAAAAGCTTGAGATCCACGGCAGCGCTTTCCAGGCCTCTGCACTTGGGACCCCAACTCTCTGACAGCCTATGGCTCATGTCATACCCTTAGCCCACCCCCACCTCAGTCCCCAACCCCCTTTTTCCAGGATGAATGATTTATTACATTGGGAAGTCTCCTGTCCCTAATCTGGCCCCTCTGACCTACCACACCATGCTGCCCTGGAGACATCCTTTTAAAATCCAGTTCTGCCCTTTTAAAATCCCCTGCCTGGTAGCCTTCCTGGCTCTCTTCTGTTTACAGGATAAAGTTCAGCCTTGTAAGCAAAACAACTCGGCCCTTCTCAATCTAGCCCTCCCCCGCCTCCCCTACACACAAACTTATTTCATCTGCACCTCTTTCCTTCTGTAATTTCATCCAGACAGGGAAGGACCTAACCACTGTCCCCCCAACCTCTGGTGTCTGCCGAGCATTTGCACATGCTAGACCTAAACCCCTCCCTTGCTTTCTCTCCCTGATAAAGCTCACAATTTAAATGGCATCCTTGAAAAGCCTTTCCTGCTGTCTCACTTTAGACTTAGGTCCCTCCTCAGGGCACCTGCTGTCCTCTCTGCTTTCCTTTAACACAGCCTGGATCGTACCAGATTGATTTGCCTGTAGCTGTATATCTGTAACATTTGCAGTCCCCAAGAGCAAAGGCAGAGTTGCTGAATTACAAACCTCAGGGGGCACCATTCACGCGAAACTCAGTGTGGATGGGCTCCTGTAGTTGGGCAATCTGCTGGCCCTGGGGGACAGGACTGCAAGATCTGTGCCCAGCAAGTGTCCTGGCACAGAGTATACACTAATACATGTGTAGTAAATAGAGGAAGGCTAGCGCCAGGCTCTGGAGGGTGCATGAGGAAGCAGCTGCCCTGGGAATTCTACAGAGGAGACCCAGGCCCAGCAGCAGGCAGTCTGGAGCGGAAGCCCCCACAGAAGCACTTACTTAGCAGAGATGCTCCTGAAATTCTCCTCAGCCTCCCGGACCCGGCCCAGGTATTTCAGACACAGTCCTTTCAGCAACTTCACCAAGCACTCATCATCCACTGAGTACTCATTCTCTGACAATAAGGAGTGAGGGAAGAAACCAGGCTTGTTCATTTCTGCAACAGTTACTCATGGGGCCCCTACTCTGCTGGGCCCTGGGGACACAGAGGTGACTCACATGGTCCCCAACTCAGGGAGCTCACATCTAGGAAGGAAAGACAGATACTGAGACGACGACAATACAGCGAGACCAGGACTGACTGCAGGAAGCCCAGGGGCTATGGGAGCCCAGAGGAGGCCTTGACCCTACCTGGGGGAAAAGGGACAGCTTGGAAGAGCTGCCAGTGCAGCTCAGTCTAGAAAGGCAAAGGTCAGTTACCAGGTTAGAGAGGTAAGAAAGGACATTTTTGGTAGAGGGAACCTTCAACTGTAAAGATTTGTGTGGTCTGACCCAGCCTGGCAGGTTCAAGGGCCTGGGGGTAGTAATCACCTGGGCCCTTTTCCAGCATCTCTTCAGCCTTGGTGATAATCTCAAGTATCCCGTCTGTGAGTTCGGGCTGCTTCCCAATCACAGCGTAGCCATTCCAAATGTACATCATTTCCTGAGGGCAGGGGAGCAAGTCAGTGCTAGGTTTCCTCCTCAGTGGGGCCTCAATTTCCCTATTAGTGATCAGAGTATCACTTAAAGCCCTTCTGGCTCCTAAATTGGGGAAGGGGGGTGCATAATTTTCTTAAGCACTTCAGGATTTCCAATAGAGCTTAAGTCTATGTCACGCTCTCTCCTATTCCCTCAAGGCACTGGGCTTGAGTTCCATCATGAAAACCAAACAGGTCCTGATTTCTTTTTTCTGCCTTGACTGCTAAGAAGCTCAGAATACTAAATTAAATTTTCACTTATAGTAAATCTGTTAGCTTAAATTAGCATTTCCTAAACTATCAAACCAGGTAATAGATGTGAAAGTGACTTATATACATGAAGTTCCAGAAAGACATTATGGTTCTTGTTATGTTCTAGAGAAGGAATTTAAGTTTAGATCTGAGTTTCTCCAAATCATTATATGGTCCCAAGTTAGCAAATGTTCCATTAAAAAAAGTTCCATGGCCAAATAATTTAAGGAAAAACCATATTCAAGCTTCTTGGACACACCCTGCAGATTAACATATAAAGGCTCCAAGATGGTCTACAGTATATAAACTTTGTTTAGGCCAGTCTTCCCCAATGTATTTAATTACAGAAATCATTTTACGCATAAGTGGTATTTTACAGATTATAGTTTCAGAAATTCTCCACTAAATTTTTGGTATAGTTGCTTCCCCTGCCCTTCCTTACAACACCCACCCCTCCCCCCAGTTTGATGCTAATAGCTTTACTGTATATTTTAAACTATAAAATATTTCAAAATCTGTTTAGAAATATTCAGGATACAAGTTCTAAATAAATTCTATAAATATTGAACTTTTTGATTTATAAAGTGTTTAACACATTTTATCAGCTGATTCTCATAACTGTTCTATGAAATGGGCAAGGTATAAAACATTCTCATTTTACATATAGGGTGGGGGGACCCTAACCAAGGTCACACAATGAGTGAATAATAGAGCCAGGATCAGAAAATGGTCTCTAGAGGCCCATTCTACTTTTCTGGCTGCCTTACTATTTGAATAACAAGGACTTAACAAACTGGAACCTTGTCTGCTAAAATCACGCATGGAATTAGCATCATAACATCATAAGTAGTTCAGAGTACAGGCTGTGGAACCAGACTACCTGGGTTTAAATTCTGACTCTCACTAGCTATGCGACCTAGATGAGTTATTTTATCTTTCTACTTATATCTTATCCACTTATTACATATTTTATCTTTCTACTTTTATTGCTTATCTATTAGGCCTTAGTATCCCCATCTGTAAAATGGGGACACCACCAGCACCTCCTCAGAGGGTTGTTATGAAGATCAAATGAGGCCATCGGCAATGGGTGTAAGGAGCCTTGAACACGGCAAGTGCCTAATAACAATGTCAGTTATTATTATTGTTATTTAGGAGTTGAATATGACATGAACCTAGGCCTCAGAAAAGTTTGGTCCAGTGAAGGGAACAGTGTAAACGACAATTATAATCATGTGACAAGACTGAAACAGACAGGGTGGGAACACAAACAGCTGAGTGATGCTTCCACCTGGGGACAGGGGTGTGGGATTGGCTAGGAGGGATGCTCTTTCTGCTTTGAGTTATCTTTAGCCTGGTCACTGGTCTCCCTAACCCACCCTCAGGAGACCAGCACTTTCTCAGAGGCAGGGCTGGCTCAGACTCCTCTGTGTTCCTCTTCTCAATCCCAGGTTAACTGAAATCCTCTCCAGGCCCCTGTGGCCTGAAGGTCTTTCTCCCTCATCCACTTCCCCCTGGTCCATGGTATCCCTGGCTCTCAGCTAATTCCTACAATTCCAAACTAGAGTTCAAGGCTAGTCAAAACTCTCCTACCCACCAGAGCAGGGATTGGCAATGAGACAGGTTTGGGGGAGAGGTAGCGTCTGGACTTCCGGATGGCAAACTTCTCCGTGGGTAGAGATTTCCCAGCAATCTTGAGTTTCAAGCCTGGCACAGCTCTGCAAAAGAGATGAAGAGGGTGGGATAAGGGTGAGAAAAAGCTGGAGAGAACTGAGAGTCCCCAGATTCTCCAGCCTCTGCTTGGTACCTATCTGGGCCTCAGTTTTTCCATCTATATGATGGTGCTGCACTCACAGCCTTCGGCTATGGCCTTATTTCACAGGCCTTGTCCTGAGACCTGCCCACTTTCTCTGGCTAAGCAAGGGGCTCCTCTGCACCAGCCAGCAGAGGTGAGAATTTACGCAAGTGCCCCGGGCCTGCTCTGTCTTCTAGTTGTCCCTCCTCCGCTTCTAGGCCCCATTTCCCTTTCCGGAGGGCCCAGGGGAAGTCTGACTCCCATTTCACAGGACAGACTAACACACCCAGAAAAAGGGAGGGATCTGCTCAAGACCACACAGCTCGAACCTTTCATTAACTCTTGCCACGTGAGTTGTGGCCTCCTCAGCTGTTTCCAAAGGCAGAGTAAAACGTGGTGTACGGCTAGGCAAACCTCCACATCTGAGGCCTCACACATCCAGTTCCATCCCATCCCCTGATTTCTGCCATAGTCACAGGGTGTGGCTGTGATGCTCGAGCCTGAGCCATCCAAGCCCAGGAAACAGCTGGACCTAGTTGTAAGGTCCCCCTGCCAAATGCCTCCCCTGCTTATTCACTGTGGAACCTCTCCAGGCCTGTTTTCTCATCTCTAAAATGGAGACAATGATATGAAGGGGAGCAGAATTTGTTACCCCAAAATTTGGAATAAGAATTTTTGGGGGTTGCATATTTTTAAGAAACAGCAGATACAGGAAAAACTCTGAAAACCTACTGGAAGTTGCCTTTCTTGAGAGATATTTATAAGGGAAGTCCTCGTTTGTAAGGGTGTCTCCTTACCTGTACCAGGAAGGAGAGGAAGAAGACAGACGCTTAAATCTGTGTCAACAACCTTACCGTTCTTTCCCATGTTTCACCTGAAAACCTCCCATAACTGACTCGCCACCCCAACATCTTTTGTCTTCCGTTGGAGATGGCATTTAAGGCGATGGCTTGGGCCATTTCAGAGAGTTACTCAGTTTCCCTGGGTCTCTCCCATGTATACAGGAGGAATACATGTGATTAAACTTCTGTTTGTCTTTCTTCTGTTAATCTGTCTTTTATTACAGGGGGATCTCAGCCAAAACCTAGCAGAATACAGGGAAAATTATCTTCCTCCCCCACAGATACTTACCCTCATGTGCTTTCTGGGAGAGTTATGAGATAAAGAAATGGAGGCACTCAGATAAATGATAAATGCCCTACGATTGTGACACTGGTGGCCCAGGAAGCATGTCGGAACCAACCCTCACCACAACTGGAGGAAGGCCCTAGGCTCCATTCTCAGCCTGCTGAGGCTGAGCCCTGCTCTAGACCTAAACGCAGCAGTACAGATAAAACAGCCACCATTTAGTGGCTCTGGGCCCTATGCCACGCTCTTTAAATACATTTTTTATTTGATTCACAAAACAAAGGAGGAGTGGTGATGGAAAGGGATGATGGACAATCCTGAGGGAGGGTCAGGATGCTGAGGGCCAGGAGAGATGACCACCCCACCCCACCTCCCTCCTTGATGCCCACAGCTCAGAGTGTCTGTGGACAGAGGCTGGCTGAGGCCTACAATGGGGCTGCAGTGGTAGGGCTCACCTAAACAACTCCACTTCGTCATCCCCAAACGGCTTGTAGTCCTCTTTCTCAAACATGCTGAGGTAGGCGGCCTTCATGTAGATGTAGGTGGCCTGTTGGAGGCAGAGCAACAGTCAGGTGCTAGCAACCTGCCCTCCAATTACAGCCTCAGACTGGCACAAATACCTCATTTGGACCTCATTTGGCACAAATACCTCATCTGGCTCAGCATAGTAGCTAACATTATCCCCAAACCCCAGGGGAGAAACTGAGGGTGAGGAAGCTGAAACAACTCGAGGACTTGAGTTGGGAGCTAAATCCAGAACGGGCCCATGTCAAAGCAGCTGCCCTTTCCACTCTGAAGCAGTGGAGAGAATGACTCAGGTAACTAGTGGATGCACAGGGCAGTGCCGAGGCTGAGATAGAGACACAAAGACAGGGCAGCAAGGGCTTCTGGGAAGCGATGACTTCAGCCTGGGCCCTTGAAGGTCAACAGGAAGATTCACAAAGACCAGAGAACGAACCTTCCAGGCAGGGGGAACAGCCTGAGCTGAGCCTGTGTATAACTAGCATACAAATAGCTAGCACAAAGTATGGGATGCGTAAAGGAAGAGGTGTGAGGCCAGAAGAGGGAGCAGCACCTGGGTCAGGGCTCAGCTCAGGGTTCCTTGGTGGAAACACATTACTGTGTACCAGGCACTACATACATCACCTCACCTGATCCCAAAGACAATGCCTGATGGAGAAGGTGCAACTGTGCAGACCCCCGTTCCCTCTCCCAGAAAGTCCACCCTGAAAGCGACGCCCTTCCCCAGAAGTCCAGCTCCAGAGGAGTCTGGCTCTGTGCTGCCCCCCAGTGGCCAAGTCTTGAACCACATCTCCTGCCACCTGGGGCTGCTGCCAGGGAACTACCTGCCTTAACCCAGAAAGAAGTGTGGTTAGTGAGTGGAGGAGGAAAAAGGAGCAGGACATCCTGGAGTCTAGTCTCTGGAGAAGGTGGAAAACAGCCTCCACCTGGCAGCCCCACCCATGCTGAAGCCCAGGGCTACTCCCAGTTCCACTCTGCCCTCAGCACCTCAGTCTGCCCTTCACAAAATGTGGAAAAGCTGGATTTTGTGGGGTGTGGTAAGAAGAATCTCCCCTTATTAAAACCTGTTCCCCATTCCATCTTTAACTTCCAGTGTCATTCTTGCTTTCTCCCTCCTCCCCACCCTGGCGCTGAGTCACCAACCAAGTCATCGTGATTTTACCTCCCATCTAGCTCTTGAATCCCACTGGCCTTGCCCTATCGCCGCAATCATTACACCCGCCTCCACACTGTCTCCCTGCTCCAAGCCACCAGGGCTGTCTTCCTACTGTCCTAGTTTATCTGGTCCCCTAACCGATCTCCCTGCTCCCACTCCTGCCCGCTACAAGCCATTTCCCACACCATCGCCCCTCTGATCTTTTTAAGTCAAATCACATCAGTCTGTCCTTGAAATCTCACGATACCCCATCACACTTAGGATAAAACCCAAACTCCCTGTCATGGTCTGCAAGAGCCTACCCAGGCTCCCCCATTTTCCTCTCCAGCTTCGTCTCCTCCTCTTTCCCCCTCCCTCACACTACTCTAGTCACACTGGCTGCTGGGCTGTCTCCAGAATACATCAAAGGCACCCAGCTTCTGCGTGGGGGTGCCCACCAACAGCCGGAGGGATTTCTTAAGCACATATCTAAGCCACAAGCATCAAGCGCTCCTTCACTGTCAGAGTAAAGTCTAAACAGCCACTCAGGGCCTCCGTGACCTGATTTTCTGGCTCCTCTTCTGCCATTTCTTCCCCATCACTCCTTAAACTCACCCCAGGCCTCTGCCTGTGCCTTCCTCTTCCTAGGATGCCATTGTCTATTCTCCACCAGCCTTGTCTGCTGCCTTCTCCTATGCCTCCTGGGCAGCTCCCCCACACTGAGTCACCAGTAGTTAGGGCAGATGTAGTGACTTAAGAGTTGTGACATCAACTTATTAAAGGATGTTATGGGACCATACTGCTGGAAAACAGCTGCCACCTCCCTAAAGGAAGTCCTGTCTCCCCAGGGTTATCTGACTGATTGCCCATTGATTTCACACATTTATTTTGTATTACTCTACCAGGGTTTGTACAGTCAGACAGTTTTTGTCCTGAAGAAGCATACAGAAAGTGACTTAGAGGGGATGGTCCCTCCATAGTCCCCCTGCACTCCCACCCAGGCCCCTTCATCTGGCGACACAGAACTTCATGGCAGCACCCTGGCTCCTGTGCATTTGCCCTTGCTGTTCTCTTGGCTTTGCGTGTCCTTTCACTTCCTCCACTCTGCCACCCTAATTCTTCCTCCTCCAGAAATGGGTTCAGATGTCTCCTCTTTCTGCAGCTTTCCTTGTCTTCTTGGCTAGGCTACCTCTGAGCTCCCTTCAGATTCTCCCATTACAGCACTGAGCACACAGTTGTCACCACCTAGTTTCTGGCCATCTCAAGCTGTAAGCACTGGGGGAAACACGAAGGCTCCAACTGGGACAACTCGCATAGTCCAGGCAGAGAGGGATGCTGAGCAGAGGGGCTGATGCGTATGGCAACGGCGACAGGCCAAATCCCTAGAGCTGAAAGTTGGTGGACTCTGTGGCAGCCAAGTGCTGGAGATTAGGAATGAATGAAGCCCCAGGACTCAAAGTGTTTGAGGGGTCTTTAGTTCCTTCCATCTCCCACTTTCATAGGAAACTCTTTTGAGGAAAGTAATGCAGAGAGAGAGGAACTGACCACCTCAAAACCACACAGTGAGCTAGAGGCTGAATAGACTCACAGCCAGACTTCCTGACACCCGGGAGACCCGGCCCTCCCTCTGCTCCTCACAGCAGCTGTGTGACTACCCCAGGCCTCTTCTTCCCCATGTACATGTACCCAGCTGCCTGTGTCACTCCACAAGAAGGCTACTAGGTTGCTTTAGCTCAAAAAGGTTCCCCAAGTTTGTGCTCTCATTGGGAGTGGGAGGTGAGGACTGAATGCCTGGCCCTCAGGGGCTGGGCCTGAGGAAGCACCTTCAACCACAGGGGTGTCTCAAAGCAAGCCAGGCCTCCTTGGGAGGACTTGAGGAGCAAGAGATAAGCATGAGTCTTTGAGTCACACGGAACTGTCTTCGAATCCCGTGTTTGTCACCCACAGCTGTGTGGGCCAAGAAAGTCATATATTCTCTTAGCCTCAGTGTCCCTTGTGTACCCAGTGGAGAGAACTACTACCTCATTGGGCGTGGTGTGGAGGAAATGGCAAGTGCTGGTCACACCGTCAGAGCTCAGTGAAGGCCTGCACCTTCTCCCGGCTCCACCTGGCCCAGACCTGGAGAATCCCCTTTCCACTTGGTCCTTTCATGCAGAGGCGGGAGGGATAAGAAATAGGGACTCAAGGCCACTAAGACACATGTGCTATGTTTGCCACGTGCTGTGTTTGTCTGGTGTGGTTGTCAATACCAGATTAGATGCTCTCTGATTACCTAGATGATTCTAAGACTCTTGGTTCAGAATTCCATGATATCATTACTACGACGATGATGGCTAATACCTATTTCACCACTTACCTTGATGTTACAAGTTTTCACCTACGCTGGGTTCCTATTTTGCTTTGTTTTGCCTACATGGCATATCTTTAATGCCTCCCCCGCCCGCCCCCCATGCTTCTTTTGGGGATATCGCATCACTTTTCTTCTAGGAAACCACCCCCCTTCTACTCTTGATCTGTGAGTCTTCCCACCCGTCTGTTTCCAGACATCACATGTGGTCTGTGCCAGACCAGTGAGGCTCTGTTGTGGGACTTCAGATGAGACCAAAGGGAAGAGGTGAGTTAGAGACAAGCACCCCATGGCTATCCTGCCTGTCACACGGAGAGAACCTGCCTGCACACCAAAGATGTCATAGCGGAGAATATAGCCACAGATGGTAAAACCAAGCCCAGAGGATGTAATTTGAATTCCCAGGTCCAGCCCTACCTGAAGTCAGCTGTGCCTAGAACTTTCAGTCATGTGAACCAATGAGCTTTTTGTGTTTTAGATCTGCATAATCCAATACAGTGACCACTAGCCCCAAGTGACTCTTTAAGTTCGATTTAATTAAAATGAAATGACATTGAGCACACCCAGTTTCCCAGTTGCACTGGGAACATTTCGAGTGCTCAGTGTGTGTGCATGTGGCTGGTGGCTACCACGTCAGATGTGCACAAACAGAACAGTTCCACCGTAACAGAAAGTTCTATTGGGTAGCACCAATTTGGACAGTGTGAGTCATGTTTCTGTCCTTTGTGACTAAAAATTTTGACCAACACATTATAGTTCCAAAGTTTCTCTGCTCTTGATGGTCTTTAGTTCCTTCCAACCCTGAGTTCTATTAGGACTTATGGTTCTGTTTAAATTCCAGCTGGGATATCTGTGCTCAGTTAGGGGTATGGCCGATCTGGGTTGGCCTAGTCCTGCAGTGCCCCCCAGCGCATGGCGTCAGCTCACCTTGGACCAGGAGTTTTCTTTGCTGAGCAGGTCAGCATAGAAGTAGGCCATCTTCCACTGGCTCTTGTAGGTGAAGCACCACATCAGCTCCCAGTAGCACATGTGATGGAACTGCTTCCAGTGCTGCTGGGCCTCACAGCACTCCTCAAACCGCCGGATGGCCTGTGGGCACCTGCCGGTCAGCCTCAGCAGGTGCATCCCTGGCCCGTGCCCCCCACTCTCTGTGCCCTCTGCACTGGCCCTACTCCACAGTAGGCTGTCTCCTCCAACACACAGTGGTCCAGCCCTGTGCCAGGCTTTGGGGGTGGAGGGGAGGGTTAGGGGAGACAGGGTATCCGGCCTCCAGTCTCGACTCTTCACCCTAAATCTTACTTGACCTTAGGCCCAGTTACTGCCTCTGTCTGGGACTCTAACCTTTCACAAAATGAAAGGACAGGCTAGAGCTATTTAATGGAGAGATAACAGGCAGTGGAGAGTGTTAATATTAAAGTGATATAATAATGTCTATGTCTCAGAGCAAACTCCAAAGGTTCTAGTAGCTCCTCCAAAGTGACCTGGACCTAGGGCAGCTGTCCTCGTGCCTGAAGAGTCACACCCAGGGTCAGTGAGAGACCCCAGACCTCCACGCTGCGGAGTCCGTCCAGGGCCTTGGCTTAGAGCTGCCAGGACTACAAGCCTCACTGCTCCAGCCCCTTCGGTGGCTCCCTCCCACCTATGGAGTCTGTTCTTCTCATCCAGGCCGTCAAGGTGCCAGCCTCACTCCCTGGCACCAGCACCCCACTCACCAGGTTCTGGCAGATCACTATGCCCTGAACAGGCAGGCCGGCCCACCTCCCTGACTTACTCGAGCACCTCCCTCTGCAGGAACGCTGCAGTCTTATATCTCCCTGTCAAAATCCTACTCCACACATGCCATCTCCTCCTCGTCTTCCCAGACTGCTTTGGTTGGAAGGGCCTCTCCCGCCTCCGCTCTCCTGTGAGTTCTCTCTTGGGGCCCTCCCCGCAGTTGGCTCTGTCCCTGAGTATGTCCCTTTGTGGCTGACTTCCTGCTGGCCTGGGCCACCCCAAGGGGTCCAGCCCGGACCCCATTACTCACTGCATCAACGTTGCCTTTAATGGCTTCGATCCGCCCCGCAAAGAACAGGAAGATGGCGCCCTGCAGAGACACGCATGTGGGTCCGTGTGGGTTCACGGGGCATACACGGGCCGTGGTGTCTGGCGGGAGGTGAGGCTTACCTTAGGGTATCGCTTCAGGTAGGGCTTCAAGAGCTTCTCTGCCTCCTCGATGTTGACATTCCCAGTGCCTGCCGGAGGTGAGGGAACAACGTGAGTCCCCCCCACCACCAGCGTCTGTGATCTTCCCAGCAACCTACTGGGAGCTTCTCAGGGTTTCTGTTTCCTCCTCTGTGAAATGGGGATAATAATTCTGTTTCTGTTTCCTCCTCTGTGAAATGGGGATAATAATTTTTCTATCTCCAGGGTGATGTGAGGATTAAATAAGGTAGTGCAGCTATCACCCCCAGCATACCACAGGGCTCAATAACCAAGAGAGTCCATGCCTGCCAAGGCTGTGCCCAGGACCCCAAGGAGCTGCCTGTAGCATCCTCACACCCTCTTCAAGGTGGGCATGATCACTCCCATTTCACAGATGAGAAATCTGAAGCTGGAACCCTGGTCAAAATTGTGAGGAAGTGAGTGGTCATCAGGCCAGGCTTCAGGACAGTTGATGTAGCTGGGTTGTTTCTGGTTTCAGTGCCCCATCCCCAGTCTCGGGGGCCCAAGCAGGGTCTGCGGCTCCTCACCCTCTTGCCCTTTTCCCTGAAAGCCAACCACACCCCAGAGGCCCCGTACGTGCCTACCTAGCACAAAGGTGAGGAAAGTGTGGTAGCACAGCAGCAGCATGACGCAGAGCACAGCTCGGAAGCTGTGTCCGGAGGCACCCTCCTCCAGCTGCAGCAGCCCGTAGTCCTGGGGGGCACAGGGGACAGGCTGAGGCCAGCAAGGACATGAAAGTCACTGGACAGCTCTGAGGGAAATGCTGCTGGCACAGGGGTGGGAGAGCACTGGACCCTGAAGTCCAGGTCAGCTGCTCCAGGCTGTACACCCAGGGCAAGAGGCTACCCCTCCCGGTGCCTCCTGGTGGGAGGGACACTGCTGCCAAGGCCAGGGAAAAGGCTTGGGTCCAGGTGTCCTTCATTTCCCCCATCCCTTCATTTATTCACTTGCTAAACCCATGGTAGGCGCTGAGGCCCTGAGCAGCCCCAGGTCTGGTAGTAGGAGGCAGAATGACAAGGAGGCAGATAATTCTAACCACAGGCTCAGGGCACAGAAGGGGCCATGAGGACTGTGGTCTGGGAAGGCTTCCTGGACGAAAAGGCTCCAGAGCCTGGCTGGGGAGGTGTGAGAGGCCAGACCCCACTTGTATCCCAGCCTGCAACCTGCCTCTGGGTCTATCCTCCAGGATGTTCTCAATCTTTCTAACATACAAATATGACCTGCCTCAGCCCTGTCTCACCCCTTCCAAGGATCCCCTCCTTTCAGGATAAAGATGGGGCCAGAGCTGGTGCTGGAGGTCTCTTCCCTCTGGCCTTGCCACTTTCAGTCCACACTGTCCCACCTCTCGGCCTTTGTCATGCTCTTCCCTTGCATCATCATCCTGAAATCCTACTGTGACTCAAGGGCCTTCTTAAGAAAACAAAACTGAGGAGGACCCACAGAGTGTCCAGCCAGTGTCTCCCCAGGTCTAGGCCATGGACCACAGATCACGACCAAGATTTTAGAGGTCTGGGGACAGGCAATGGGGAAGCAGAGTCCCAAATGAGGGTCTTCCCTTCTCGGTTCTCTGTCTGTCCTCCTGATGGTGGACAGAATGCCTCAGTCCTGTGCTGTCATGTGTTCAACATCGCTCTCGCTCTAGGCAACGTTTCTCACAAAGATTAACAGCCTTGGTAGAGCACACAACCTAGTGGGGCTTTCATAAGACAGTTTGGTCCTCGTAGTATTTATTGTTATGATTATGCTCTTATCACGCTAAATACTATAGGCTTTCTGTGTATGATGTTTCCTTTAAATAAATTTAAAGGAGATTCAGTAAAAAAAAAATAAGCCACTTTTCAGAAAAATAATACATAAATAATAATAGAGAGGTCCATGGACACGGCAAAAATCAAGATGGGCTGGAGAAAGTCCAAGTTTGAGAAACACTGACCTGGTCTAAAACAAGTCCCATGTTTTACTGAAAAGAGGCTCAGAATCACAGGGACTTGCTCAGAGTCTCCGGGAGAAGGGGATGCCTTCTAGGCCAATGCTCCTTCTATGACGGCAGGCCTCCTCCACCAGGGAGCCCTTCCTGACCTGCTGCTACCTGGTACTCATATTCATGCCCTCAGTAAAACTTCAGTAAAGTGACTCCTTTGCTTTCAGTCCCCAAGGCCTGGTGCACAGTAGGGTTTCCGTTGGGCATCTCCCAGATCAGATGATGGTCCCATCCAGGGGGAAGGGGCTTGCTCCAGGTCTTCTGAAGAGAGAAAGACCAGGTTCCTGACACCTGTCAGGCTCAAAGAACATGCCCCTAGGCCACCCCATGAAACTGCCCTTCACACCTACCCTAACCCCAGAGCCTCCATCCTGTGAGAGGCCAGGCAGGGATCACTGGCCCCATTAGCCTTGAGAGGAAATTGAGGCCCAGCGAGGTTTGGGTCGTGTCCAGGGCCACACAGCAAGCGGGGCTGAGCCAGGACTGGCATCTGGGCCACACAACCCCTCGGCCCCACCCCATCAACTGAGCTCTTGTCCTGGGGCCAGGCAGGTCAGGGGCCCCAGAAAGCAGGTGGTTACCTTGTTTCCTGAAAACCCCACAAACTCTAGCAGCCGCAGGATCCTAGTAGGAAGCATGGACAGCGTCTGCAGAAACAGAGGCAGCTGGGCATGTGGAGGGGTGGGGGCTCCCCCTCCTACTCCCCATCCCCCAAAGTCCTGGAGGTAATCCCAGGTGTGCAGGCTCTGTCTCTGTAATGCCCCCAGGTTTCCTGGAAAGCCAACTGCCCCATACAGAGAAGCACTACAGTATGACAGAAGCAGACTACATCCAAATCCTAGTCTTACTACTTCCAGCAGAGTCACCTCGGGCAAGTTACATAGCCTCTCTATGCCTCAGTTTCCTTATCTGTGAAATGAAAATAATAATAGCCCCTACCTCATAGGTGTGCTGTGCAGATGAATCAAAATAATATATGTAAAGCACATAGAAGGGGACCTGCACATAACACTTAGCTATTGTTGTTATTATACCGAATCCCTACTTTTCACTGGGGGTTCTGTCATCGCATTTGATCCTCAGAATGATCCTGCACAGAAGGAATTATTGCCTCTTTTGACAAATGGAGAAACAGAGGCACAGATAAATGATAGAACACATCCAAGGCCCCATAGCTCATTAGAGGCAGAGCCAGTTCTTGAACTGAGGACGGTCTGGTTATAACCTGCTAAAGCATCCAGTGTACTTTGCAGCTTGTATTACTCAGCACTTGGCCCAGGATTACTGCTCCCATTTTACATATGAGGAAACTAGAACCCAGAGTGGGGCAGGGACCCTCCACCCACAAGGCCTGTTCTTTGAATAGGCTTTGCCTGAAGGGGAGAGAGCCTACCCTCCACCCCTGCCCCCTGACACACACACGCACACTTTTGGGAAGGTCCCTAGGCCAGGAGCCCAAATCATCTATGAGCAGCTCCTCCTCCCAGGAGCAGGCACAGCTCTTCTGAGCCTCCCTCCCTTGGCTCTCACTGCTCCCTCTGCCTAGGACCCCTTCCCTGCCTGGAAAATTTCCCCTACCTATGGATCCTTCAAGATCAAGCTCAAATACTGCCCCTTCCCTGAAACTTTCCACAACTCCTCCAGAAAGGAGCTTGGCTCTCTGTTCCCTGTGGGTCAAGAGCTGTTTTCAGGCCTGTCTTCTTCCCTGACACTGGTCAATGTTTAACCACCCACTCTCCGGGGCAGAAAGGGCCCCGATTTATGATGTTTGTCCATTTCCGATGCTATAAATACTGCCACCATGTTGGATTTCAAGCTTACAACTTGAATTGGGAATTCACAGAAGAGACTCTGGAGCGAATGCTGGCACCTATCCTCACCCCCACCCCAGTCGTGAGCCCCCAGGCTGGCAATGTGCCTGCTTCATCACTGGGTCTCAGGGCTGGCACAGGGCCTGGCACAGTAGCCCAGCAGAGACCACGTGTGTGGCAGGGCTGTGCAGGGGAGATTAATCTGGGCCCAGACACTGTGGACAGGGGGAGGGGCACGCCACTCACCAGGTTGAAGGCTCCCACACCAAGCTTCACCCCTCCTTCAAAGTGCCTGTGGTTCTCTCCTTTGCAGTACTGTGAGGACTGTACAAGGCTGTCCAGCTCTCTGCAGAGGGATGCAAAGTCCTGTTTCAGCCATGTATTAGGGGCAGGGTCCCCTTCCAGCTGGGCCTAAGATTGTCTCCCACTGCCAGCTGATCTCAGAACTCCCTGGTGGTAGATTTATAACAGTACTGACAATCTAGAAAGCCAATATTCAAAGAATTTCTAACTTCACCTCCCACTATAATAACACATTCCTTGCCCCTAAATTTCAGCCATATCAGGCCTAGCGTACCTGAGTCGTCCAACATCTAGGCATTTGCTTGCATTCTGCATTCTGTCTAGAACAGTTTCTCTCAACCTCAGCACCACTGACATTTTAGGCTGGAGAATTATTTGGGTAAGAGGCTGTCCTGTGCATCACAAAATGCTTAGCATTCCTGGCCTCTATCCACTAGATGCCAGGAGCAGCCTCCCCACCATTGCGACAACCAAAATATGTCCAGACATTGCCAAACGTCTCATGGGGGACAAAAATGACCCCTGGTTGAGAAAAACTGGGCTAACTAAAACATTCCCTCTTTTAGGAAGTCTTTCTGGAATCTCTTGGGTGGAATCCAACCCTCTCTCTCCTGGTCACCAACAGTACAGAGCCTAGCCTGCCTGGAGCAGGACAGAGGCTTTAAAGATGTACCCGCCCTATTCCCAGGCTATGAGCTTCTTCATTCAGTAACAGAGGCCTCTCTTGCCAGACACTAGAGAGAAGCAGGGAGCAAAGCCACCGAGCTGCTGCCTTCACAGCTCTCCCACTCTAAGGGACAGATCCCTATTTAGTCACTGTGAAAGTGAGGAAGGCCTCAAAGGAGAAGAGCTTTGGGGCCTAATTGAGTCTGGGGTTCAGGGGTTGCTTCTCTGAAGAGCTGATGTTGGAATTGCAAACAGAGATGAGAGGAATGAG